GACTGGTATGCTTCTTTCATGTGGACTTTGTTGCTTCTGAGCTAGATGGCCGCTTGTTTACCTTCAAGCCTTTAAGATCCCAGATGCTATATCTTTTGATAGCCAGGCACCATCAGCTTTCTTCACCACATTTGAAAGCCCTGTCTTAAGTAGATCAGCTGGTGGTTTTGAACTGCTGATCAAATTGCTGTGCTTGCAGTTAACAGCCGAATGCATAACCACTAGGCCACTCTTTTTGAAGAATCTTTGTTGGTGCCCTCTCTTCTAAGTCTTGATGCTCATTGTAAGGTATGTAGACCACTTTCTCCAGAACCGCATGGAGACACATAGACAGCCATGCTGTTGCTCAGGCACCTCTGGGTGATGTGGAAAGCTAAGCCCTTGGTGCTTATATTGGTGGTTCAAATCTATCCAAAGGTGCTTTGGAAGCAAGTCTTGGAGATCTACATGCCAAACATTGCAGCCGTTAAAGATGTGCTCATTTGTAGGCCCTATCTCATACCTGCTGAATCAGCATCCTCATTTTTAACAGTGTCCTCAGATGATTCTTAATCATGTTGAATTCTGAGGTGAGCTGGTCAAGATGTTAAAGCCCAGATTCTGTGGAATGGCATCAGAAGTCCTCCTTATTCCCCTTTCCTGCTTCATTTCTATTTCCCTAAACACATCATACTCTTCCCTCTCTGTGTGCCTTTACAGATTGTGTTTCCTCTGTCTCTTCTGCCACCACTGTGTTGGAAAAAACACCGTATGTTAACTGGCTGGCTGGGCCTTAAATTTCAGTGGATTGACAGTTAAGAGGTAGTTTGGTCTGTAATGATGTAATTTGGCTGTTATATAATAATACGGGAATCCCTCATTTATGATCCAATATACTGTAGTCATTTCAGTGAGGAGATCTGATACAATGGTAATCATCCCCATGAGTGAACTCCATGAGCAGCCAATCAGTTGAAAGGAGAGGGGTGTGGCCTCTATCCAATGTATTTGGATAGTTTGGCAAATCTCGATGGCTTTTTTGCTCACTCTGCCCTGCACCCCATTCATCATCATCTGACCTCTAGTCCTTGAGACCTGAGCCAAAGGGTTAGCATACTGCCTTCTGGCCTTGCGATTCATCAGACTTCACAGCCTGTGAGCCAGCAGCTCACTTCCCTGCTTATCTTGGGTTTGTCAGGCCCTGCAGCTACCTGAGTTGGGAAACCTCTCCAGCCTGACATGTGACCCACAAATGTGGAACTTTCCAGCCTCTTTAAATGCTTGAGCCATTTCCTTGAGATACATTTCTATACAGAGATATATATTTAGAAGCGTCATTGCTGTTGCTTCTCTAGAGACCCTAACCCAAGACTCTCGGTACTGAGTGGTTTTAGAAAAACAAAACCATGAGGATGAGTTCTTAAGTCTGATTAGTAGACTCTGATGACTGAAGAAGCTGCTAATCCATATGAGATGATGTGGAGGAAAGGCCAGCCCCTCACAACTAATTGCAGAGCTTTATAGGTGCAACTGTACGGCTGAGATATATAAAGATTATAATAAAGTCATAGCATGAGAGATTGAAATAATGGAGTCAGACACATTTCATGGTAGCATGTTCACCTCAGCCTCACTTGGTGGTCCACGTGGAAATGGGAGACAGGAGAGAGGGGGAGGGAAAAGGGGATAGGGGAGCACCGATCGAGGGAGAGCGGAGAGAGAGGAAGGGAGAGGGAGCCAGAGAGAGCCTTTATTGCTAACCAAGGGTTATATACCTTTGGGGAGTCATGCAAGCTCCCTAATTA